GGGCTAGGAGGAGGTCAGTGTCCCACCCCAGGCTGGGTGGCTCCCGGAGACCCCGGGGGTGACCCCGGCGACCCCCATGCTCACTCACCTGCTTTGGTGCTCAGACCTACAGCCAACCTGTCCCCACCCTGTGGTGGGTGGGACACGAACGGGGTGACAGGCTCTAAGTGGCAGGCCAGGAGCCCACCCAGGTCCTGGCCTCCCAGATGAGCCAGGCAATGGGAGGTGTTTCTGGGAGGAGAGGTGTTTGACCCCACGGGGAGAACAGGACCCCGTGTGAGTCCTACTTGCCTGGGTCCCTCAGCCCTGTCCTCTCCCCAGCAGGTCGGAGCTGCCCATTCTTGACCTCTTTCAGGGTGTCTGCCAGGGCACGTGGGGCCCCCTCCCTGCCCTGCCCTCACTCCCCCCCAGTCCATCTCTTCTTCCTGCCTTGAGATCAGGCCCCAGATTCAGCCTGGAGACCCCAGAGGCGCCTCTGCCAGAGCTGTGCTCCCCACATGCTCCCCAGCCACTGTCCCTTCTTCTGGATCCAAGTCCCTGAAAATAAAGGGCTAGCTACTCCCCCCCCCCCCCCAAGGGTGTGTGCCTGGGGACTGTAGGAGCCAATGTCTGCCTGAGGGTGGGCTGAGCTGGCAGCTCAGTTAGTGTGCCTTGAGGCAAATGGCGTGAAAGTGAGGGAGGGAGACAGCCCCTCACTGGTGCCTCTGGGCTGGGGGAGGCCACTTGCTCTAAGTCCCAAATCCTAAAGTTAATGAGCCCGAAACCTCCTGCTCCAGAGCTTCCAAAGGAGGTCGTGGCCTGTGCACGACGCCTCGTGTCAATAAAATTATTTTGTACGTGAGTGAGGTGCTGTTCCAGAGCGAGGGGTCACCAGTGGGGCTTCCAGCTAATGGGGGACACAGGACAGCGAGATGGGTGTGTGGTATCATCCCCGGCCAGGGGAGGCCCTGCAAAGGTGACCGTCAGGCTGAGGGGCCAGAATGATGGAAGGGACTGTCGTGGGGGCTAGGCAAGGTGTTCTGATGAGGGAACAGCCATGTCCAGGCCAAAGAAAGCTCATTTTTATATTCAAGAACAGAAGGGAAGCCAAGGTGTGTGAGGGAACAGCAGGGTGCATCTCTGGTGGGGCCTGAGTTGGGTCTGGGCAGAAATCAGCCCCAGAGTGATATGCTTGGCAGCAAGAAGGCACAGGGACCCCCGAGTGTTTTAGTAGTGGGTGAAGTGGGGTCTGACTTAGGTTTTTAGGCCTAGATTGTCAGTGGAAGTATAAACTAACACAGCTTTCTGGAAAGTAAATTGGCCTAGAAACATGCTTATCCTTAGATCCAGAAAATCTAGCCCAAGAAAAATAATTCTAAATATAGAATGGACTTTATAGGGCCCTCCCTGGTGATGTAGCGGATTGGGATGCAGCACTGCAGGCTGGCTGCAGCCGCCTCAGTGCGAGTTCGACCCCGGTCTCCCAGCTGACCCACATGGCACGGCAGACCTCTCCTGTCCTGCCTGCTGCTCCCCTCAGCAGTGTACTTTGTCCATCTGCCTGTTCTGCTCCCCACTCTGTCTCTGGTGAATCCTCTCACCCCCTGCCCTCTGGCCTGTACCCCAGTTCTGTATGCATAGATAAATCTTTTACAAATAAAATAAAAAAAAGAATAGACTTTATAGACAAAGA